TTTAATGTCTCTCTCTTTCTAGCACTAATCCTAATATGTAAACATACCTAAATCCAGGTCATCCTTCATTGACAGTTCCTGGATTTGAGAATCAACATCTGGAGCTCTGGGTCAATTACGGGGTACTGAAGAGCTAAGGAGAGTAGACTGCTTTAGTTCTCCAAATTCAACTGATGTCAGATACCAATCGCTTAGTTTTAATTCTACACTTTAGGACACAGTGGTTTTGCTTTTATTTCCCTAGCAACGTTTTCTTTTAAACCCAAATAAACCTGCATTGAGTAATTAAAATTAAAATTGAGAGAACAGAAAACAGAACTCCAACAAATGCTGTGAACAACTCTGACTACTCGGACGCGATCATCCCATCACCCCCTTTTCTGCAGTGGAGGAAACATATCCTCATTTCCTGTTCAAAATGCTACTGCACACTTTTCTTCCATCCAAATGCATACGTTGCTTCCTGACTCTTTAACACAGGCAATATGTAGAATTCATTGCACACCTAGGAATCTAGATGTATATGACTGACACAACAGCTAAAATACTGTTCACACCATTTTGAAGAATAACCCTAAACATAAGGCATCATTTAGAACCAGATAAACAAAATGAGGAGACAATATTATAATGCTATAGGGATGAGATGTAATTTGTACAAGAGGCCTTTGAAATTGGTGAATTAAAAATATATATATAAGCATATTTACCTTTAATTTCAAACATTAACTTTGAAATAAATAACTCAAAGTATATTTAACAGCAGTTAAATATCTCACAATAAATGTCAAGATGCTTATGAGATCTCTATTTTACCAGTCCCATCCCCAGCCTGAATTATTGCTATGGTGTCTTTTGGTTCCACGATTCTTATAACAAACGTGATTTGAATACATTGACTACTGAGTCTTATACATGTAATTTTTCAATGATTTGTGGGAAAATTTGATTTTTTTCAAAAAGGAGTAAATTGATTATTTGAGCTACTGAATACACTCTCAAGAACTATTATGACTAGAATTTAGGATGCCCATTTTACAGGTAAACATTTTCAGGAGAAAAGACCAGATACAAATGAAGGAGGTAGATAAATGCAATTGGTCTTACAGGTTTAATTTTTTTTCTTGGCTTTTGCATTTGAAAATACTTTAAAATTCATACAAAAGCTCAGTTTTCATTTTAACAAAATAATCTCATACTGGCAGAAATAATCTATACCCCTTAAATATGAAGATTAGCTACGTAAAAAGGACACAGCATTTTGCTTTCATCAGGTAGAAGACTGTATTTAGAAGCAAGGATCATAAAGGAGAATTGCTTCCATGGCTTGAAGCTTGTTTTGGTGTCCATCACTTTTCTGCTAGGAAGCCTATTAACTGGCACTTTTACACTCAATGCATTTTGATCACCTATTAAACACAACTTGATTTCATGATTGGTGAGAAAAATTTAAGCATGTGAACGCTTGATTCTTGATGAAATTAAACTACAAAGGAAGATCTAGATTATTTTCTTTTGTGCAATATTTTATTAGATAGTATGTCAATTTATTGTACCATAAAGGAAACTTTGAAAATATATAACTAACATTTACTCCCGTTATGGTTCAAGGGAACAATCTTGACAAAGAAGCTTAAAATTTCTGTACAAATTATTGACTAATATTGTCATATCTCCAAAGATAAAATAATATTCTTCTATATATGTTGAGAAAAAGATATAGATTTTAAAAAATGGGACAAATTCTTATTTATATTTTCAACTACTACCAGAAAAGTTACAAAGAATATATTAAATAATAAGCTCTTCGAAAAGAAATAAATGTGAGAGGATGACTTTAAAATACTTTTAGTCCATAACATATACCTTAGAACAATAAAAGCATAAACAAAACAAAAGAAAACTCCTCTACTAAAATTCCATGGTGTTTTGAAGTATGGAGTCCTCAAACAGCTAAACGCAATAGAGGAACAGCCTTTGACTACCTTTTAAAAAGCTTTCTTATGCGCTAAAGCAACAGTATTAATTCAACCTTGGCTGCAAAAGCATTTTATATTTATTTGTTTTGATTATAAAATTGTTCCCTCTCACCTTGGCCTTGGGTTTCTGATACTCTGCCCTTTTTTAAGTACTGGGAGGCGTTTTAACAATTTGTTTAAACCTTCTTTCATAGAGAAGCCAGAAGGAAAACATTTCAGTGTTTTCCAATTTTATCTTTAATTTTATAAGACTGATAATTTTTTTAAGTAGAAGGTACACTATACTGCACATCTAAATTGAGAAAGTATTTTTTTTTCCAAGAATCAAATTCTTTCTGATAATCAATAACCGGCTCTTTTCCCTTACTCCTTAAATACCCCAAAGATACACTAACATAAATGTGTGCATACAGTTACATAATATTAATGTGTATCTAGACATATAAGTATATGTACATGTAAATGTATGTGTATATGTATATATAAAGACCATACAGATATAATACAGCCATTGTAAATGACAATCATGAACTTGCTTTCGATTCTTTAGTTATCATCCCAGAACCAGAGAGCCAACATAGCTCAGAACACGGGCTCAACAAGCAACACAAATTCATTCGTTTTTATTTTAAAATTCAAATTGAGAAGCCTGCAGAGAAGCTGATAAGCTGTCTAGTAGAGTATAAAGTCTACCACAGGCCTTAAGATCTCGTACAGGTGGATTATGTGTAATGAAGCAAAAGGAATAAATATCATCTAAGGTGAACAAATCCACCACAACTCTCATCCAGGCAAGTCAAACACATAAGTACATTGAAAGTTATGAATATAACATTCTTTTGGAGGTTATGAATATAAATACCACAACGTATATATATTGCTTTCACAGACATGTGTCTTGCAAATAAAAATATATTTCTTATAGAGATGGTAACGTAGAGGAAACTTTTGAAGTGCTTTTTTTATACAGAAGTGGACTCAAGAAGCAAATACCGGTAAATCTTAGTCTTTAACAAAAAATAAAGTCTAATAAGGCACGAATGCTCTTCTATTCATGCAATACCTCATCATCTAAGTATCCTGATATTATACATATAAATGCATATTTCACACACAGGAAGGCTTTGGTACTATCATATATTAAGCCACAGCAAAACAGAGACAATTTGGTACATTGCTTCTTAAACATAATTTTATATTATTGTAATATAACTCTTCAAGACATTTATAGTCTCTGATCTAAAACACTGACTTATTCTCAAAACGCTTTTCAAAACCTATCCACATTAAAGATGATTCAAAATGTTCAGTATTACTTTTCCAAAGCTGATTGATCCTGAAATTTATTACACTCCCCCACCCCTTCTCTCCTATCATGCAGATCCCTCCACTAGAAATGCCTCCTCTCCAACTTCCATACATAGTGCAGCTAAAAGAAAAAGCAAGAGATTGGTATTAAGCTACATGATATCAGACACAAAGATTGTAACTCAACTCCTCACTCTCTCTTCCCTTTCTTCCAGTATATTGACTTATCACCAAACACAGAACAGAGTTCACCTCTCGTAAGACACAGAAATGGAAGGGAACTATACATTCACTTAATAAGAGCATTTGATGAAAACCTTTTTAATGATATGATTTGAAACGTTAAATGTCATTGGAACAATTACGTATTTTTCTTTTTAATGGTTACAGCTTCACCTAAAACTGTGGTAGTGTAGCGCTATGGTAGTGCAATGCTATGTTGTCCTACGTAAGTCTGAAAATGAGGCTCTTCATTAGTATTTTAGCATATTACCATAATCACTGTGACCTCTTTCCCACCTCAATCATTACCAATTGCAACATTTCCAAAACACCAATTTGGGCATCCCTCTCATTGACTATCTATTCTCAACTCTCAGGTCACACTCTCCAGTACTCCCCTTGCAGGATTTCTTTGACCTCACTGGGACTTCTAGTCCACTGATCCAACCATTCACTGATCATCATCCTCTTATGACCTCTCTTCCCTCCTTGCCCAGCCTAGATTCCAAGAACATCATTATAAGTACATCCTTTCATAAGCTCTCAATTCTTTTGTTCTTCTTAATACTTTCCTGGAGAAATCCCAACTCCCAGTTAAATTCCATTCTCTGCCTATTCTGCACTTGTAATGAAATAGCTGAAATTTGCCCAAGGATAAAAAACAAATAAACCCTGCACAACCATGATGACTGGTTTCACATTCAATTTTTGACCACAAACCTGAGGTGGGTCCTCTATTCCCCAATCTATTCACTCCCCTGGGAGGACTATTTCACACCTCTCTCCCCACATCTTTTCTATCCCCACTCTTACTCTTAGCTGCTTAGCTTGGTTCTTTTTGACTCAGGAGAACCTCTTCATTGTCCTATAGCAGCTCAGTGATCCAAGGTCCTCTCTCTTACACCAGTGGTCCTTTCTCTTCCTCTAACACAGTGTTTCTCAAATTATCTTCGGTATGACCAGCCCCTACACCCCAATCTAATGGGAACCTAAACTTCTGTTGAATACAATAAAAATAAATGATTAATACTGAAATAGAAAAGCAAAGACACACACCATGTATCAAATACCAGATTCAACACACACAATTACTATATCAAATTGCTATAAAAGCTCACTCTCACGTTCTCTCTTGTCTTGTTGTACATCAGCGATAAACAGCTTGTCTCAAGCACCAGCCCAATGATCACACTTTGAGCAGCACTGCTGGGGTCAGGCCTAGCTCTGGTTGTTTCCCTTGCTGGAATATTCTTCCTCAGAAAGCCACATGGCTTTATCTCCTTATCTTATTCACCTCAGTTCTCATGTCACCATCTCAGAGAGGACTTTCCTGACCATCATCTGTTATTTATCAAAATAAAACCTTGCCGACCCTTTCCATCCCCTTGCATTAGTTTTCCTCCTAGCTTTTATATTTTACTTAGCATTCTTACATGGTTATTTTTTATTGTTTGTTCTTCCAACACAAGTTCAGTTCCATGAAGTCTATAATTTTTGCTACTGAGTTCCCATACTACCTGGCACACAGCAGGTATTCAATGGTATTGAATAACTCTATGCATTTCACCAGATATATAACCTAAGACAACTAGTACAGCATTCTCACAAGTATTTGGATAATGGTGAAAGGTTTCTGTGGTTTTGCAAACATACATGTGCACTTTCTTTCACAATGATAACACTTTTTTAAATTGAAGTATAGTTGATTTACAATATTGTGTTACTTTCAGGTGTATAGCACATTGATTCAGTTATTGTTTTCTGATTACATTCCATTATAGGCTATTATAAGATATTGAGTATAATTCTCTATAGTATACAATAAATCCTTGTTGTGCTTCTATTTTATGCATAGTAGTTTGTATCTGTGAATCCTATACTCCTAGTTTGTACCCCCTTCCCTTTCCTTTCCCCTTTAGTAATCATAAGTTTGCTTTCTATGTCTGCGAGCCTGTTTCTGTTTTATATATAGATTCATTTGTATTATTTTTAGATTCTACATACAAGTGATATCATATGATATTTGTCTTTGTCTGACCTATTTCACTAAGTATAATATACTCTAGGTCCATTGACGTTGCTGTAAATGGCAATATTTCATTCTTTTTTCTGTCTGAGTAATATTCCATTATGTATATATATACCACATCTTCTTAAGCCAGTCACTGTCTGTTGATGGGCACTTGCTTTCAGGTCTTGGCTATTATAAATAGTGCTGCTATGAACACTGGGATGCATGTATCTTTTCAAATTATACTTTTAATGTTTCTTTATTGTGTGCTCCAAAGTTAGGGAAAAAATAGCAGGCGTGAGCTCCATCCCTCAGGAAGGGCAGTACCGTCATGACAGGGGCTAAGTTTTAACTGTTAGACATGTTGTTTACAGTTTACTTCACAAAAGCTATTCAAGAACAAGTGTCTACAATTACTTTAAGATGTTTGGGATGCAATCACCTGTAACAAGCTTTATACAGAAAACCACCTAATGAAATGAAATCATGAACAATTAAATCACATTGCCTTTCAAGAAAACTATAAGTCAATTCATAACATATTGCTCCTTTACTTATGAAGCGACCTGAGTCTCTTTGACTTTGGATCAAAGCTGATTTTACTGTGTACTCATTACAGTAAACAACAAATATACTTAGGTGAGATTCAGAATATTAAAACAAATTAAAATTAAAAAGTCATATGTTTTTTATTCTTGAGGTAAAGAAACAGGAGTGAAAATCTATCTTATTTGGAGGAGTTAAACATGATCAAAAGATTACCCTTATTTTTTAATAAACAGTAAACATAAATTCAAATTATATGGGCATAACATATAAATTTCCTTTTACATCAGATATATCTATTACCTTGCAAACTAGATATCTCACAGTTAGCATATTAAAAGTCTTTCCTATTTAAAAAAAATAATTGTAACTATTTGGTTAATTAATTTTTACCAAATTAGTATAATGAATAGACATTCATTATTTTACGTTCCTAGCACTCCAAACCTGTACCTTTGGGAAGACAGCATTTTCTGGGAAATGCTCTTTCTTTGGTTTGGTTTGACGGGCGCCCCATCTCCTCACAAACCCAGGCTTGGCCACAGCTGGGTCAGGTGTGGTCCTCTGCCCCTCCACATGTGGTTATGGATGGAGGGGTGGCCCCTGACCTAGGTCAGCTACTTCCACTGAATCTGGGGTTAGAGGTTTACTCCCTTTCTGGTTGTGGCTCTGCAAGAATGGAGACAGTAAAGTTACTGACATTGAAACGTGACTACAGAGCGGCATGAGGAAACTTTTGGGAGTGATGGAAATGTTTTATAACCTGATTATGGAAGTGGTTTGTGATAACTAATGACTGTGTCTTGAAAAGGGCAAATTTAATTTTATTCTATCTAAATAATACCTCAACCTGATTTAAAATTTTAAAATTCCAATGTACTTCTTTATATAATTTGTTGTTTGTTGGAGTTGTGTTTTACCATGTGGTTTTAATATATAGTTGAATTCAGCAAAATGACATTTTTCTGCAATCCATCCCGGAAATATGATATAAGAAGCCAAGACAGGTATTAAAATTAATACTTTAATATCATTCTGTGGAGCAGTGTACAATGCTCAACAATTGCATATATCACTTGAACAATCTATAAGCATCATATGATTGCTTTAACTTGGAACATGTTTTTTTGTTTTTTTTTCTTTTCTTTTTTTTTTTTGAAGTACGCGGGCCTCTCACTGTTGTGGCCTCTCCCGTTGCGGAGCACAGGCTCCGGACACGCAGGCTCAGCGGCTGTGGCTCACGGGCCCAGCCGCTCCGCGGCATGTGGGATCTTCCCGGACCCGGGCACGAACCCGTGTCCCCTGCATCGGCAGGCGGACTCTCAACCACTGCGCCACCGGGGAAGCCCTGGAACATGTTTTAATACATATGAACAGCTTGAAAAAATGGGCCCTTGAGAACGAAAGTGGGAACATTTCTTGTATTCCAATCTAATTAGCTCATTCTTCTACCTCAGTTTGCTCTCCTGTTATCTTCTGAGGTATTGCTTTGTATAAAAAGAATATTACTTTCATTTTTTAACTATTTGCTTAAGTAGCAAATATACTGGTTTTCACCATATATAAAAATGTAATAGAAGTTTTAATATATATTGTGTAATATAGATCTACACATACTTTATATGGAATTTTTGCAGTCACTGATTTAAACTCAACATATTCCCAAAGATAATTTGTTATTGACTATAATAATTAGGAATAATGCAATTTTTTCCAAAGTAATTAACAAGTGAAAACCAAATAATGCAAGTCTAAAGAAGAAACCAAGAAAAGAAAGACAAAAGAAAATAAGACAAAAATTGAGCTAACTCTACTCTTTGACAGGATTTTTTCAGGATGTTTTCTATTAAGTGGTTTGGGGTGGGTTTTTTTGTTTGTTTTTGCATTTTAAATTATTTATTTATTTGTTTATTTTTATTGAAGTATAGTTGATTTACTATTAAGTGGTTTTGAACAACCTAATTTGTGATGGCCTGTGAAATAATTGACAAAAGACAAAGAGATTGTCCAAAGCTGACGGTTGCCTAGAAAAGTTCTGAGTGAAAATCATCCACATAATATTAAAATATATTTCTGTTAAAGCAGTTCGATCTGGAACTAGTGTTGTACAGCCCAGGTAAATAGAGAGATCTCCAAGAATAAACATTTCTAAATTAAAAAAAAAAAGTATGATGTATAGAACATAACGTTTACACATGGTTTATGCAAATAGGTATGGGAAACATTTATGAATAAAAATGATAACATTTAGAAGTACTTAAACATTCTAATAAAGTAATAATCTGCTTAAGGCTAAATAGTTATACTTTTTCTATAATTTTTGTATTTAAAATTATAAGAAACCAGGGACATTTTATGTTTTCAGAGGAAACATTCATCCTTCTAGCACTAAACAGCAAAACACTAACTTTTTTTTTCCAGGATGGTCCTTCAGATGGTCATCATTCAAACAAGTTAACCAGTGCCTCTCTTCCAGGGGAGAGCTATTTCCAAACATCTATAAATTTTATAGAGTCTTAAGACTATACAATTGACAAAAACATAATATCATTAGGAATAAGCACCAAAGCTTAAGAAGAAAATGGATGCACGAAATAAAAGTCAATAGCTTTCAATACTCAAACAGAGAAATCTTCATTGACTGTAAGGGTTCAACAAAGAGCACTGCAGTTGTGTTTTAAAACTTCTCTCATATAAATGCATATGTGTGTGCCCTGGCCCAACAACAGTTCATGTGAAAACAACATAAGATAAAAAAACAAACAAACATACAAACAATAAAACCTGAGAAATGAGACAGTGTTCTGCATAAGAAAATATCTGAGGGACAAAAACCATGAATGTAAGTTTATAGTTGTCCTTCCTCCCTATACCCACTAAAGCAAAGGCTGCTCGCCTGCTCAATTTCCCCCATTTCACTGCTCGTACAGTGTGTGGAATCTTCCTTGTGGCGGAGAAGGTTAAAAGCTCAATTTATCTAATAATCATATGATGGAGAGAAACAACAAAAAACACACAGGAATTTGAATTGGTTGCTAACTTGAGCCAAGAAACGGCTGCCAAGAATTGCAATGTAATCTTAGTGACCAGAAAAAGGGAGGCAAAAAACCTATCATCTCCAGAATTGGTTGAACCACTGAATATTTTAAGGGGGACGCTGACGAACTTGTTCTCACATCTGCAGGACCATCATGGAAGAATAATTAGGGTGTTGCTAGTTAGTGCCAGAAGGATGAATGAGAATACATTTTCTTCAGTAGGTAGATGCTGTCTAAAAATAAAAAAGGGTTGCTTTGTGAGGTAGAAAATCCTGATTATTTAAAAATATTCATTCAGAAATTTCATTAGCATATATTATCATATATTATATAGCATACACTATACAAAGGGCTATGCAAGGCAATAGGAATTACAGTTAATACTTATAACAAAACAGTTCTTCCTTCAAAGAATTTCTACTCCAGAAATGATCTGGAAGGTACCACTAACTCCTGTGTTGGATAATTACACGGGGCAACCCTCCCTTGGTAGGGAGAATATACAAATGTTCTTCTATAATCCCTTCTGACTCAGATGGTTAATGCTAACCATTAGCATTTTGTTATTCATTTCCTGAGAAGACTTGATACTCCTTAACAGGTCACCAAATACATTATTAGCATTTCTTCAATGTACCAATCAGAGCAAAAACAGAGAATTGGCTGATTGTGCAGAAAGAATGCATTAGCTTTCTGTTTCTTATCTTTGCAAGACTTCCAAAACATGTTAGTCTTATGAAAAAAAAAATGTTTAAAACCTTTCTGATTAAAAATATTTCTAGCTACATTGATTTACTTAGTAAAAACAATTACTAGTATGTAAGAAATTTATTTGTGTGTTAATTAACTTTGTGGGAATGAGATCTGGTTTACTCTAAGATTATATAATGTCTTTCCAGAAAAAGAACAAAGCCAAAGTTTGGGAAAATGACAGAACTTACTTACCTGTTCCCATGATTTCAAGGGGAATTCATCTACCATATCTTACATAAATGAATGATGCATTTTAATCAAAGGGAACCATAAATTGAATCTGCCTGCTTCATATTATGGTATAGGCTGTCACTGAATATCAAACACAATCTTTATGACATAGCATAGCTAATGAAATAATAAACTGATGATAATCATAAGATGAAAATAGAATATAATAAATGTGAAATGTGCTGTAATGGTGTTTTAGATTTGTCTGACTTAAGAACACTCTTTTAAACTTTTAATAGTTGTTATATTGCAGTAGCAATACAGTGTTGTGCACATGCAGTAGACAGTTTTGGAATCTGATGAGCATAAAGTCCAATCTCGATCTAGCATTCACTGTGTGACACTCGCCTCATCTTGCTAAGGTTAGAGCTTCACTTATTTTAAGTGGGGTTAAGGATATGTACATTCTGGGTAGCTGTGAGAATTTAAATAGATAAAGCATGCAAATACTTGGTAAAGAATCTAGCACTTGGTAAATTCTCAATAAAGGCAGGGGTGGGCAAAGTCTCAGTAAATAGAAGATTATACAGTGTTGGGAGCATAACTCTTTTATTTTTCGACATTGAAGCCCATTTTTATTACTCTCATCATTCCTCTCTCCCTCCTCCATTCTGCCAAACTAAATCAGCTTTGGATATGTGTGCAAATAAATGATAGGGAAGAGAAGAAATAATCATTGCTAAATGCCTTTAAAACTGAGATCACTTTCAGGTAATTATAGATGTTTGCTATGTGGAAAGGTGCCTGGGAGTTACAACATGCCAGGATTTCATAAGAATTATGGGCTCTTCCTCAGTAACCCTAAGTGATTCTTATCATTCCACTAGGTGAAAGAGACAGAATGCATGCTCCTGGGCTAGAAGCAGGATGTAGTCTTACAACATTCAGTAGTATCAATTTGGGTTGCCGAGAATACCAAGAAGTTCAGTGAATTTGGCTGTAATTTTTGATACAATCACTGAAGCAGCAAGCCAAAAAATAAAGGCCCCAGGGGTTGGGGTGAAGATGAGGTAACAGATCTATAATTACTGCACTGGGCCTAGTGCTGCTTTTAAAAGCTTTTAATATCACATAAAATCATTTCTGATTTTACTCCTTTGACTTAACACAAATACATACGAGGCAATAGGCCAAATAAACTGAGTGTTCAAAAAAGCAAAAACAACTGGACGTGAGAGAGGAGCTATGTAACCCTTCCACTGTTTGTGACGCAAACAACCGAAACCAACTAAATTGGTGTATGCCCTATTCTAGATTCACTGGACTCAGAAGGGGCTGCACTTTGCACTCACCGTTCCCTCTCTCAGTGATCCGAAATCCCTTCCGTCCCCTGCCTGTCTTGCTCATCTTTCCAGAGGCTCCCAAATGTCGCTCCTTTTGCTCAGCCTTCCCTGCTTCACTGCCACTTGCAAACAGTTGACTGCTACCAATGCTTTGAAAGTGTGCCTTGTTATCATATAACATAAACATCTGTTTATCTCTCTCTTTCTTCCTTCCTTGATCTCATATTTTTATTGAGGAGTCACAAGTTTATAAACATACAAATATGGAAGGAAGAAAACGCAGGCTATAAAAAAAGGCAGATTCAAGGTCAAACCCAGACTGTGTCTATGTGATCTCGGAGAACTAACTTAAACTTTCTATGTTTATTCATCACTACAGGAGAACATAACATCAACTTTAGTAGATTATTTTGTTATATTAGATACGAGAAGAAAATGTAAATGGTAAAAGAACCCAGGCAGCGATCAACACTCATCTAATGAGCTGATGTCCAACAAGTAGCAGAAAAAACAATAAATTCTTCATAGATGAAATTTTAAAACAAATTTTAAAATACGTATATATTCAGGTGTAGCATAAATGTATGCAAGTAATATGCATATCCTATAAATTTATGCTTACTGTATTTTACACAAAATCTTCTCCTCTAGAGAGGTGGTGTGTAAGAGAGATGACTTGGGTTTGCCTATTAGAAAGTTATTACAAACTTCTAAAAGAGAAGTTTCAACGGAGTGTTCAAAGAAACAGCATAACAGATGATGAACGAGTGAGTAAATAGTATACGGACAGAAAGTATAGTAGAAACAGGCAACTCTTCTGAGAACTTTATTAGTGAAGGAAAAAAAGACCATTGGGCCCAAAATAACAGGTTTTTTTCTTTGATAGAGATTTAAGAATGTGAGTATTTGC